TTTACTAATATTAATAATTATTTACTAATTTTTATTTTTAATATTAATTATTATTTACTAATATTAATAATTATTTACTAATTTTTATTTTTAATATTAATTATTATTTACTAATATTAATAATTATTTACTAATTTTTATTTTTAATATTAATTATTATTTACTAATATTAATAATTATTTACTAATTTTTATTTTTAATATTAATTATTATTTACTAATTATTAATTTTCTGAAATTTCACCAAGAAGGCTATTTTTAAGACATATAACATATAAATATATTGTAGATATAATATATACTTGATAGATATAGCATATGTACGTATTAAATACCGATAATAAAACATGTATCCTTTATGCTCGTTTTAACAGATACAGACGCGAATTTGCATTAACAAAATAGAAATTAAAAACACAAAAATACACTAACAGCCCTGGATTTTTTCGTACAAATAAATATTACTAATTATTAGTTTTTCGAAATTTCACCAAGAAGGCTATTTTTAAGACATATAATGTATAAATGTAATATATTATAGATATAATATATACTTGATAGATACAGCATATGTATGTACGTATTAAATACCGATAATAAAACATGTGTGAATTTGCATTAACAAAATAGAAATTAAAAATACGCTAACAGCCCTGGATTTTTTCGTCGTTCGAATAAAAGAAATTTGAGAACAAACGTTCGATTAAAAGAACAAAGAAAAAAGAAAGCAATTCAATCGACTAAATTACGATTCTCGAGAAACCAATCGTACCATGTGATAACATTGATTTAATGCACGTGTTGAACAAGAATCACGTTTGCCATGTGGCAAACCCTTAGGTTCCAGAGGGAGGAACAAAAATGGCCGACGATCCGGATGACTTGATTGCTCGTCGCGCAATCAGCTGGCAGGCAGAACTCCGAATTCGAATCCCCGGTCCAATAATCCGATCGACCGTTTCGTTCCCACCTCTTCGAATCAATTCTTCCATGCCTGGTTCTCTTCGTGAAAAAATACCGAACACTCGGTATGTCGAACGTCCGGCGAACCGGAATAAACCTACTAGCTGATTAGCGCGGTCAACGTAAAAATTAGCGGCAAAGCGCGAATTGCGAAAATTGCTTCATAAATACTTTTGCTCCTTTCCTTTTTTCCTTCTTTTTAAGAAAAAAAAAGGAAGCAGAAGAAGAAGAAGAAGAAGAAGTAAAAGACGTTTTGTTGCATTCGTGAACACGTCACTGGCGCATTGCGGTAAGTACGCCCTCTATTTCGTAACCGTGGAAACGTTTGTCTGTATAGCACGGTCCGTATAGTAAGTTCTGCTATAGACGCGTGTTATACGGTTATACAGCAATCCGGTCCTCCACTATACCCGCCGGGGAGAGCGAGTAAATCACGCCACACGACGTAACGAACAGTAAGGCTGCATATAGTCGTCACCAATTATTTTCGTACGTATGTACGTAAGGCTCTAGCGTATCGACCACTTTTCACGTTCACCCGAAAAGGGGTGGAGAGAAAAACATGGAGGAAGTACGATAGAACGCGAGGCAAAATCAGTTTGTGCACGGTAAACTTCGTGCTTGTTGCAACTTTTGCGAAATTACGACTGATAACTCACTTGGCGAAACTGCGTTTATCGCCCGTAACTTGGAAAATCAATTATACTTCAAATTAGCGGATATCGCTGTATACGTGACTCTGATTGTTCAAATACATTATGTGTACAAATAAGCAAAGATATCAAAGTAATAATTAAACTCGTGTAGTTACTATATCACAAGATTAACGTAGCTCTAGCAGTTCTTTCTCATGAGATATGATGTTCTGACAGTTTTTGAAAATTGTAAAACGTGTTTCCGGATAGCGAATCTCTCTCTTCGATGAGTTAACAAATTTTGATAACGATCGAACGCGATTTTAAATAGTTTGAAGTAATTCCTAATTCGATACGAGATAATGGCTTTTAAAAATACGAAAGTGAAAGATACAAAAAATATAGAAAGATCCTTGATTAAATAAAAATCATCAGAAACGATCGATGAAAGTTTGAAGGGAAATGCAAGGCGGCAGATACCATTTAAAAACCGATCTTCGACTTTTTCGTTGAAAAGTCTATCATTCAGAGACTTTTGTGGCTAAGGAAGCAACAGGTATGGTCTTGGCACAATAAAAAAAATTGCTTATTCTACGAGAATGCAAATCAAGTTTACTTCAGCAAGTACAATCTGATCCGATGTGAAAGAATATTACGTGCAGCATACTTTTTATATCCGCGTCGCGTTATTATATCTTTCGTGGTGTGTCATTATGTTTACTATACGATACATAAAAAAAAAAGACCAAGATCATCTATAACTTATATTATAAACACAGCAATATGTCGATCTAAATTATTACAAAGCGATGATTAATAAGATAATGTTAATGTAAATTGATAATGTAAGAAACGATGTTCTTTTCAGATACCTGGAATCAGTGACAAGAAAAAATTATTATTTGATTTACAGGAACATACAAGTTGAAATATCTACGAACGACAATTAATTACTAGTACAATTTAGTTTTACAACGTAATTAAGCATGAAACGCTCGAGAAGTTAATATTGAAAATATTAGGTGTCAGAATCTGTCTTCTAATTGACGAACTATTACGAGAATTTCAAATTTAAGTAATTAATTAATTAGGTAATAAAGTATTAACATAATGTAATTTAAATAATGATTTAAATAGCTTACTAATGTCATCGAATCAGCGTATGCTAAAATAATTTTATTTCATGTGAATTTAATGAGTAAAACGATAGATAACGTTGGCGAAGCAAGTTCTGGTATCGATAAGATAAATAACTTTCCACGCTAATATATCAATATAAATGCAACATAGTACATCCAGTAAGTGTCCGTAAGTACTTTAAATCACGCAGATAATCTACATCAGTTCGATCAAGCGGAAACGAAATAATAATTGGTCAGCGATACACGTTGAGTTCCATTGATTCGACTACCGATAACTAAAGTAACAAGACTTTTATCAAAGAAATTAAAACGCAAGAAACAGGATGAAGAGAACATAAACTTTTGTTTACATATGTATATTTTATAGAAAAATCAAGTTTCGACTTTTATCAAAGAAATATCAAAGGATAGAGCACAAACTTATATATATTTTATAGAAAATGAAATCTCGTTGCGAAGCCTACGTAAAATTCCTAAAATTCTTATGATAGATTATAAATTACATTTACATATGTAAATTTTATAGAAAACTCGAAAAATCAAATTTCGACTTTTATCAAAGAAATGCAAGAAATAAAATAGAGCACAAACTTATATACATATATATTACAGAAAATCAAATCTCGTTGCGAAACCTACGTAAAATTTCTGAAATTCTTATGGTAGATTATAAATTATATATTAACAAATATACAGTTACTTCGGCCTACTCTACTCCAGTAGTGTTCAATTCAACGATCTGATCGTTAATGCAAATAAACGCGAGTTCACGTTGATTTTTTTTCTACCACGAACGAGTTCCAAGATGGAGTTTGTCGGAAATACAAATAGAGCTACAGTCGTTTAATGTAGTTTTGACAGGAGTAGAGTGAAGTGACGACGATATATATACATAGGTGGACAGATATCGGTGCTAACGTGCGTAGATCTTTGGCGATATGCCAGACTCGTTTCGCGAATACATACTTGTTTACCGCATGCTAGAGAGTGACGTAAAACTCTATTGGGCTCTTGGACTGATCCGGCACACGTGATGATGTCCCCACATACATACAGCTAGTCTTCCTCGCAGTCAAAATGATCCGAGTCGAAGTGATCGAAATCAAAACGATCGACCGCGATACGAAATTAGATGCACGAAGCAACGAACAATTGAAGAAACAAATTCGTCATCTTCGTTTAATACTTATAATGATCTCTAGATCTTTTTGTGTAATTTTTTTTTGTTTATTTATTTTTATGTAATTTTATATTATAATATATAATATATATAATTTTATATTATAATATATAATATATATAATTTTACATTATAATATATAATATATATAATTGATTGGTATTATAATATATATAATTGATGTAATTTTTGTTCGACATTTTTATACGAATATTAATTAAACAAAGAAACTGTCAAATCGAATTTCTATACTAGGTACAAAATTATGTTAATTCGTAGACAATTGGCGCTCACTCGTACCACAACAGTTTAATTCCGGAGTACTTTCTTTCAATCTACAATGTACCATTAAATCAAACTGATATTCTAAATTGTTATAAAATGATATAACAATCTATTTGGTTTCGTTTCAAAACATAATGTTTTTACTTTCACAACACCGAGTTCGTTTTCCTCAGAAATATCTTTACATCAAGCAACGAATGAAAAAAGGAAGAAAATTTTCAACATCTTTGCAAAACATTGAAAAATTTTTTCCACAACTGAGAACCACTACGATCTTGAAGATTAAATTGAAAATTTTTTTTTTTGTTCATTAATTTATCGAACTCTGAACGACGAAATTTTTGTCATTTAACTCTAACATTTAAAGTTCAACGAAATGGTGAAAAAAATTGTATTAAAAATCTCGAACTACCGTGGTATTAATGGTGAAAAAAATTGTATTAAAAATCTCGAACTTGTGATTTGAAGGTACGAGGTGGTATCGAGAATGTACTAATGCGTTCTAACATTTCACAATTGATTTGTTTCGTTCCTTCTGACTTTGATCTACCCGTAAAATATAATAGTATCGTTTTCTCGTGCAAATATTCGTAGAACGAACAGAGGGACATACAGCATTCGAGCATCATGGTTATAAAGTTTGATAGGACATTGAATGAAAGAGAGAGCCTTGTCACGAATATTTGCAATCGTAGCTGGTATGACGAACATCTACATGCTACCCGTGTATCCGTGATAGACAAATGCGAGACATGACTTTCGTGCAGTCGAATGGAATTGAATCGTTCATATCGAGTTTTCGATATCGTAACATCCAATGTTTAAATTATAACCAAGAATATATATATATATATATATATATATA